ATCCAATACTCTTAGCATCAATTTTCAAGTTTGAAATTTGAACTGCATACTGCATACTAGTCTTTAAGATATTGTTCTACCTCTTATTTTTAATCTTATTGTTCTTTTTTTAGTCTCATTTTTTGGTTCCTATTTCTTGATGGTTTTATTCTTGGTTATAAATGGAAGGCAGGAAGCAAAGTCTTAAGGGCAACAGACTTTGTACCTAAACAGACTTTCAGTTTGTTTCCTTTCTTGTGAGCTCTGTTGCTTTCTTAAGTAGATCTGCAAGGCCTTAAGTGTTGAATCACCTAAAAAAAACAAAACAAAACTGAGCCTCAATTAACTCACAGGCTCTTGTTTCTTCCCAACAGAGGCTACTGGTATTGCCTTCTGGCTTCATCTAACACCCCATTACATCACAAGGATTCATATGATCTAAAATCGACTGTCTCTACTGTAAGCAGTCATTGACTAGTGAGCAAGGCATCTATGAAAAAGGAACCAACATTCACAAGAGGGTGAATGAAGCAGAAGTTAGTCAGAAAGTTCCCGTGGTACAGTATCTCATATCTGACTTAAACAAACAAAAACTCCAGTGAATACAGAATATAGTAACGGGATGTCATGGGCCTGAATAACGCTGAAGTTCTTTGAGAAAAAAGAAAACATGTAAGCACATGCAGTCTGGATATTTTCTCCCAGTCTGTCTTGCCTGTTCATTTTCTCAGTGCATCTATTTTTCCTTTGTAATTAGTGCTTTTTGTGTTCTGTATACAAAACATTTGCCTTCCTCACGGTTGTCAACATATTCTCCCATGTTTTCATAGAAAAAGCTTTATGCTTCTAGCTTTTATATTTAGGTTTATGATCTATCCAAATTAATGCGTACAGAACAAGGTAGGGGTCAAGGTCCATTTTGTCTCCATTTGAATATCCAGTTTACCCAGAATTATTCATTAAAAAGACTTCCCTTTCCCCCACTGAATTAACTTGACACTCTAGGTGAAGATCAATCTACAGTACTTGTGTTTGGTCTATTTCTTGGACTCTTTATTCTGTTTCATTCATCTCTCTTTATGCCAAAGACTTTGATTACTGTGGCTTTACTGTAAGTCTTCAAATTAAACAGTATTAAGCAGTTTAAGGCCCTCAACTGTGCTCTTCTTTTGAAGACTTTTTTCGCAATTCAAGACCCTTCACATTCCATACACATTTCCGAGCCAATCTATTAATTTCTTCTAAAAAAATAAATAACATGGCTAGGATTTTGACTGGGATTGCATTGATTCTATGGATGAATTCAGGGAGAACAGAAATACCAAAACATCAAATCTCCCAATGCATGAACAAAGCATATCTCCTGTTTATTTCAGTCTTCTTGAATTCCTCTCAATGTTTTATAGTTTTCTGTGTAACAGTGTTTAATGTCTTTCATTCTATTTATTCCTAACCAGTTTATGTTTTTTGGTGCAACTGTAAATATTTCCAATTTTCATTTTCCTACACATGTATGTATATTTACAATACGCCTATCTGACAAAGAATTCCTATCCAGAATATATAGTAAACTCCAATAGGTTAAAACCAAAAAACCATTAACAAAAATGGGCAAAAGACTCAAACAGACAGTTCACAAAAGATGTAGGAGTGTCCAATAAGCACATAAAGATGCCTAAGATCATTAGTCACCAGGGAAATGAAATTTAAAGCCATATTGAGATGCTATTTCACCCTCACTGACAAAACAGAATGTTAAGAAGAATGTTGAAAAACTGAGTTTAGAAATATTACTGGTGGGAAGTGTAAACTGATAAACCATTTTGGAAATTAGTCTAGCAGTTAAAAATATACCCACCCTGTGACTAAACAATTGCACTCCTAGACATTTATTTGAGAGAAATTTAAGACTTCTATAAGAATGTCCATTGTAGCCTATTCACAATGACCAAAAACTTCGATACAACTCAAATGTCCTATCATTGGGAAAACATATGAACAAATTGCAGTATATTCATACTACATGTATAGGAATAAACTACTTTATACTGACAAAGACTGTCTCCTTGACCAAACTCTAGCCAGGCTCCTCTGAGCCCTCTTCTTAACTAGGCTTCAACCCTAACTTACCGTCTAGAGACTTGAACAAACACTAATGTAGACTCTAACAGCTCAAGACTCCACCCCTAGGATGACTCTAGCACCCCTTAGTGCCTGCCTGAAAAAACTCAAGGCTGCCAAAAGCATCCATTGTTTATTCTAGCCAACACTGAAAGATCAGGCCCCGATCTCCCAGTGAGCAAATCCAGGTGGTTTCACACAAACCAATTCCTTTCCTAGACTTTGTAATTTTTTTACTTTTTGGACTTTATTCACCCCAACCTTCTTACTCCCTCATTCTCTCTTTAAAATGTACTGTGTACAAATCAAAGTTGAGTTTCATTCACTCCGAACTTTTTTCCTTATTGCAATAGTTATTACTGATCAAACTCTGTCCTTATCACTTTAACTAGTATCTAGTTTTATCTTAAAAAATGTTTTAATTTTTATTTATGTTGAGAGTGTGTGGGTGTGTGTGGATACACAAGCAGGGGAGGAGCGGGGAGAGAGGGGGAGAGAGACAGGGACAGAGAGCATCCCAAGCAGGCTCCACACTGTCAGTACAGAGCCGGACAAGGGCTCAATCCAACAGTGAGATCATGTCCTGAGCCAGTATCAAGAGTCAGATGCACAAGTGACTGAGCCACCCAGGTGCTCCTGACTTTATCTTTGCGTCATCCGTGCAAACAACATGGATGTGTCTCAAAGAACACAGCTGAGTGAAAGAAGGCAAAAGAATACATACTGTCTGATTCTGTGTATATGACATTTGAGAACAGGCAAATCTAATCTATCATAGATTCTGAAATCAGAAAATGACTGGTGAGGGTAAGGAGACTAATCAGAAAGACATAACAAGGGAAGTTTCTAGAGTTTCAGATATATTTTGCACCTTGTTTTGGGTGGTGGTACACAGATATACCGTTGACCCTTGAACAACGCAGGGGTTAGGGGTGCCAACCTCCTGTGCAGTAAAAAATTTGAATATAACTTTCAATTCCCCAAAAACTTAACTACTGATTGACTACTGTTGACCAGAAGCCTTACTGATAACAGTAGATTAACACATATTTTGTGTGTTAGATTTATTACATATTGTATTCTTTTAATAAAGGAGGCTAAAGAAAATAGTAAGAGGGGCACCAGGGTAGCTCAGTCAGTTAAGTGTCTGACTTCAGCTCAGGTCACGATCTCACAGTTTGTGGATTCGGGCCCCACATCGGGCTCTTGGCTGTCAGTGGAGAACCTGCTTTGGATACTCTTTCTCCCTCTGCCCCTCCCTCACTCGTGTGTGCCCTCTCTCTCAAAAATATATAAGCGTTTAAAAAAAGAAAATATTAAGAAAATCATAAGGAAAATGTTTGGAGTACTGTACTGTATTTATCAAAAAATCCACATAGAAGTGGACTCACACAGTTCAAACCCATGTTGTTCAAGAGTCAACCATATATACCTGTTAACACTCATCAAACTGAACGCTGAAGACATGAGCATTTTATTTTATAAATTCTCTCTCTCTCTCTCTCTCTCCCCTGCCCTCTCACCTCCATTTCCTTCCTTCCTCTCCCCCTCTGTCTCTTAAGAATACCTGGGGAAATTCTGAAGGCAAAGAAAGATGAGAGATGTAGCCGACCCTCCAAGTCTCCCTTTCAATACCCACTTACCCCTCCCTCCTGACCCCAATTTTGCTTGAGGTATCAATCTGCCCCGTGAGAAATTCTCCCTTCGCACACTTTTTGCAGCTAGGGGTGAGGCCACATGCCCACTTCTGGCCAATGACAAGTATGTAGAAGTCTACAGGGTGGGACTTCCTGAAAAGCTATTGCTTTCACAGACTCAGACTCATGCCTTTTGTTAGTACCCCTTTCTTTTCTTTCTTCCTGGAGTCCAGCTGCTCAAATGAACTAAGAAGACTGTGCTATTTCCCAATGCAACCCTGTTTGACCCCAAGCTGGAGGAGCTCTTGGCAAGTCACGACTGACACTTCGCAAGTCAAAATGTTTAGGCATCAAAATGAAAACAGCAATTCCAACTGGAAGTCAAAAGTGATCTATGCATTGATGTGTTAACGTATATGTAAGAATTCAGTATGTAAGTGATATGTCAAAGCAATAGGGATACAGACCATCAATAGACGGTGTGAAACAAAAACTGCTACGTTGTAACATACAAAATTATGAAGATAGATGAATGCTTGACACAATAGAAGCCAAAAGCATAAAAGTGCTAAAAGAAAATGTAGTGATTGAAAATGGTCTCATAAAGCATTATCCAAAAGCCACGAGCCATAAAGTTAGACTGTCAGATCTGGCACCATAAAGATTCAGAATTTCTGTATTGAGAAATGTACGCTACAAGCTAAACTTAAAGATAAGCAACAGTTTGAGGGAATATAATGTTTCAAACAGGTCGGCCAAGGACTACTACCATACATAGGACAAGTTCTTACAGACCAATAAAAACACAAATAAAACCAAAAGACAACAACCCAGCAGGAAAATTATAAAGAAAAAAAGCATCATGTAAAAAAAGATCAGTGATAGTGACCAACTAAAAATTACTCAGTCTTACAGCTGAGCCTGGGAGGCTCGGTCAGTTGAGCGTCCGGCTTTGTCTCAGGTCGTGATCTCGTGGTTCGTGAGTTCGAGCCCCACGTCAGGCTCTGTGCTGTTTGTGCAGGGCCTGCTTCGGATCCTCTCTCCTTCTCTTTGCCCCTCCCCCTGCTTGCACTCTCTCTCTCTCCCTCTCTCAAAAATAAACACTAAAAAAAAGATTTTAATAAAAACGCTCAGTCTTACTAATGATTATAATAAAAATTTTTTAAATGAAAATAACAATGTTAAAGAGGTATTATTTTCCACCTGCCAGCTGACAAACAATTTAAGAGACTAAGAATATTCTGTGCTTAGCATCTCTTTTACCATGAGAACAGAAACGGACATAACCTCTTTGGAGGACCATTTTGAAGAGGCTTCTCCCCTGAAATCCATCTCACTGGAAAACTGAAACACACATCCAAAATGCTTATCACAGCCCTATTTTAATAGCAAAATCATAGCCACCCAAATGATGAACAGAAGAACAGTCACATAAAGTACAACCACACTGTGGAATACTGTTCAGCCATTACAGAAAAAAAATTATATGTACAGTATATTCAAATTAGGCTACTGAGTGAGGGGAAAGTATTCACTTTTGCCCTTTAAAAAATTAACCATTAAGGCACCTGGCTGGCTCAAAGAGTATGTGGCTCTTGACCTCGGGGTTATGAGTTGGAGCCCCATGTTGGGTGTAGGAGACTACTTAGAAACAAAATCTTGGGGGTGGGGAACATCTGGGTGGCTCAGTCAGTTAAGCCTCTGACTCTTGATATCAGCTCAGGTCATGATCTCACATTTTTGAGATCAAGCCCCATAGGAGGCTCTGCACTGACAGAACAGAGCCTGCTTGGGATTCTCTCTTTCCCTCTCTCTCTTTGCTACCCCCCACCCTGTGCAGATGCGCTCTCTCTCTCAAAATTAATAAACGTTAAAAAAATAATAATAGAAGTTAAAAAAATAAAATCTTAGGGGCACCTAAGTGGGTCCATTGGTTAAGCATCTGGCTCTTGATTTTGGCCCAGGTCATGATCTCACGATTTGTGGGACTGAGCCTCGCACTGAGCGCCACACAGATGGCACAGACCTTCTTAGTATTCTCTCTCCCTCTCTCTCTGCTCTTCCACCCCCTCAAAAATAAAGAAATAAAACATTAATAATAGTGTTAAAAATGAAATCTTAAAAAATAGTTATTAAAAGAAAAAAATTAGTGTTCTAGATCTGAGATCTTTTTTTCGTATTTTCCAAAACTTTACTTGTTCCTTACTGAAAAAATGGGGAGACCGTGCAGAAAATCCATGATTTGTTTGACTTTCTGGATGGGCAAGTGTGGCAGCTAATTTATCCTCACCGGAATATCCTAATTCTAAAGTGATATGTCTTCTCTGAGGACGGAAAGCAGCAGCCCTCACCTTCAAACTATTTCAGGTCAACAGCTCAAGCCCTGCTCTCCGGGCATGGCCGTGAAGGTGCGATCCATGTGCTAGAAAGGCCTAGGCCCTTGGGAAAATGCCGCCGCTCTGGAGACGTGATCCTATGGCCCACCTGCACCTAAGGGGGGCATTTGTGGATTTAGTTGAAGTCAGATTAACTTCTGTAATTTTTACAACAGGATTTCAGTCTTACGGCCTCTGGTCTGGTTTCTAAAACATGTAGATCACTGACAGCCAGGGAAACGGAACAGCAGACTGTTGAGACCACGTCAGGAAATGCACCCCTGAGCACCGACACTCAGTTCCTCTTCCCTCTGCCCCCTGAGAAATACTTACTGTGGGTCCAGCACGCACGTGGCTAGGGCAGATGTGGTCCCTCCCCGTACCTTTCTTCTCGCGGGGGAGACACACAGTAAGCAATACGCCTTCACTGAGGCTGCACTGACTGCCACCAAGGAGGCGCACAGAGAACAGGTGCGGGGCTGGGCCTGGTCTGCAGGCGGCAGGGGTCTCCTGGTGAGAGCCGCATCTGGGATGAGCCAGAGGGCTTGGCGTCTTCTTTGACTCACTGGCCTCACCCATATCCAATCTGTCAACACATCCCATCAGCTCCTCCTTCAAAACGTACCTAGAATCTAGTCGATTCTCAGCCCCTCCACCACGACCATCCTGATCCAAGCCGGCAGCACCTCTGTCTTGGAATATCCCATCGGCCTACTAACTGATGTCCCCGCTTCTGTCCTTGCTCCCTACAGGCTGCTCTCAACAGAGAAGTGATCCCATAAAACCCAAGTCAGGTCACCTCATTCTTCAGTTCAAAATCCTCCATCGGCCACCACCACAGGCCCGAAGACCCCGTCTGCCCTCCTCCGCCGCCCTCCCTCTGGCCTGGCCCTTCCTGGAACAAGTCAGGGCTGCTCTCTCCACAGGGCTTCCTACCCTCCCTGCTCTCTGGCTGGGACACCGTTTCCACAGACATCCACAGGGCTCACTCCCTCACCTCCTGCAAGTCTGTCCCCACCACTGTCCTTCTAGGGGGAACTCTAAGCTCCACTGAGAGACACAAGCCTAGAGGAGGCATCTAAAGGACAGAGGAAAAACGTCAGGTCCTAAGCAAAAACGCGCTGCGGGCACAGCGGAAGCAACTGACAAGCAAGGTGGAGAGCAGAGCTCGGGTCGGCTGCGCTGCTCACGCGTGAGGCGGTGCGGCACCAGGGCAGAAACGCAGGGGGCCACCATGGCAATGGTGACAGACGGGGATGAAGACAGGTGATCCTTCCAGACGAGGCATTCCAGAAAATGAGTGCCCTGTGTGCAGCCGGGGTCCTCCACACGCGCAACGAAGCCGACCAGGCTGATGGCAAGAATCGAAACAGACAGGAGGGCTGTGCACCAGGCACCCAAGTCGTCCACGAATTAGGTGAATAACCAAGTGGAAGACAGTGAGGACAAGAGGGTGCTCCACCTGGGGACCATGGATATCAAAGAAATGGGGGGTGGGGGAGGGGGTAAAGAACAAGGACACAAATCTTGCACCCCCAATCCTGAAACAGACAGGGTATGAGAAAACAGAGGCTCCATCAGAGAGGCCTTCAAGGAAGGCTACCCCCATGCAAGGACCAGGGTCAAAGCAAAGAGAGGGAAGAAATGGCTCAGGAGAGGCTGAGGAAAGAGATGAGGCTAATTAAGGAGGGGGAATTTCCTAGGAGACACAGGGAGGGTCTGGGGAGAGGGGGACAGGGGTAAACAACAGAAGGAACTGCCTTCACGGCACGGCAGGCTGGGGGAGACAAGGAGAGGGGAGATGGGTAGTGGCGAGAGTCAGCGATCACAGGAAGTGTTGGAAAAACACCTGCCGAATCCAGTGGAATGCGTCAGCATAAACCCAGAACGTCCCACCAGGACACTTCTAACTGAGGGCGGTAGGAGTGAGAGCAAAGGTCTGCGATGATAGTCATGACACTGACAATGACAGTACTGGGACAGCGCTGATAATAACCACCTGTCTTCAACACGTGCCGTGTGACAGGCACTGTGGGGAGCGAGCCACACTGAATCCTCCCAAAAGCCGTCTGCACCGTTCACATCATGACTGTCCCCGGGAGGGCTCTGAAAGGAAGGAGGGAACAGAATGCAACAGAAGCAACAGAACGGCAGGAGTCCTGGGAGGCGAACTGGCTTTCTTCATGTCAAGTTAGGGCTTTTACGGCTGTAACCTAGGGCGGCAGGAACCAGCCTGATCCACGGCTATGAGATATTCGGTAACTTCAACCAAATAGTATTCAGAACGGAGGGAAATCAAAACCTGTAATACTCTACTGCAGGCTTCACGCTGTGGCCGATCCTTGCTCACTGCCTTGAGTCTATGATCTCACCTCCCAGAGGTGGGTTACCATGATTCTCCCCATTCCAAAAATGAGAGGACAGTTCTATGCCCATGATTCACGCAAAGAATCCCTATTTAGTAACATGATTTTTTGACAAGATTTAAGGGTTTAACACATTATAGTGAAGATATCACAGAACTTGAAGGACAAAGACCTGCAAACTGTCTTAAAACATGAGCTTACGGATTTTCACAATCTTTTTGCATGGTTTTCCAGATGAGGGAAAACCCAGTGCAAAAAGCTTCGATGAAATGTATCCAGATGGCAAAGATGCCCAGTCTTTAGAGCCCGGGACCTATCCCAGGAGATTCTGATTCAGTGAGTGTAGACTCGGACGTGAGCATCTGTGTTTGCTTTTAAAAGCCCGAGGGTAAGGGCGCCTGGGTGACTCAGTTGGGTAAGTGTCCGACTTCAGCTGAGGTCATGATCTTCTGGTTTGTGAGTTCCAGCCCCACCTCGGGCTCTGTGCTGACAGCTTGAAGCCTAGAGCCTGTTTCAGATTCTGTGTCTCCCTCGCTCTCTCTGCCCCACTCACACATGCTCACTCGCTCACTCGCTCTTGCTCTAAGATTAAAAAAAAAAAAAGACTAAAAAAAATAAGCCCAAGGGTCTGCCAATGTGCACTCCAGTCTTAAGAGACTCTGCCATTCCAAACCCAAACTTTCCCTACAACGTTTAGAGGGCTATGGACACAGAGGGCATTGGAAACTAAGGCAGAGAAGAGCTGAGAAATCATAAAACTATCCAACAGAGAGTCAAGAAAAGGCATACTCTCATTACACTACTCTGTCCTCTTTCTGTGTCTGAATTATTTCATCGTCAATTTATTTTAAGCAAGGAAGTCCCCAAAAAACGTTTACTGACAAATATTAAAAAATCAATATTACCAATAAATTTTAAATGCACCTAATCAAAATATACTACTGTAAAGTATTTTATTTCCCTCTAATCATTTCTATGGCACTGCAGAGTCTCTTAGCAAACAGCAGTCGATATGAGAAAAATTATTTCTAATTCAACAGTGCTACAGATGTGGTCAAGAGCAAGTGAAAACTGGAGAAGAAATAGAGTTCAGTGTATTCTGTTTCAGTTCACAAATTTCCCGGCAGACTGCCTCCAAGTCTTAAATACTTATGCATGTATTTACCTATTTATTTAATCAACCACCCCAACACCTAACATACTGCATGGCACATGTGACTCAAGTGTTTTACTAATGTTAAATATCATTTAATCCGTGCAATTATCTATGAAGTGGGTATTATTAACGTCCCCATTTTACAGATCAGGAAACTGAGGCGCAGAATGGTTTAGGAATAGCTAGTAAGTGGCAGAGCTAGGATCAGCTTCACAGAGCCTGGCCTCGGAGTCCATGCTTTACATCACTGTGCTCAGTCTCCAGGACCCTACAAAAAGTGCAAGCCTTAACCCAAAATCTTGGCTTTCCCCAACCTACATTCCCTAGTAGCCCCAGCTTCAAGGAGCCACTAGCCATTCCTTTAATAGTTCATACTCCTTCCCTACTCTGCCTCAGCACCTTCCTATATCCCCGTTTTGTATTCAGCCTTCTGATCTCAGCTTCAACATTACTGCCGAAATTACAAACTCTAATGGCATGCTGTATTTCTCAGCACTCAATGCAAAGTGTAATTATGTATTTTACGGGTAATTATTTGCTTCCTTTCTTTGCCAACGAGGTGGTACGGATGTCAGATGCCATGCCAGTCGTACGTGTTCCCAATCATTGAATACCCACCAACCATTCAGAAAAGAAGGGTTTGGCACAACGGATACTGTCAATAATTTCTGATGAATGAATAAAGTACACTCAAGCCTCATGCTTTCCGAGGTGTGATACATGTCTGTGCTCACAGTGCTGCCCCCACTATACCGCCAAGTATGTAGCCCCTGCTGCATACAGGCAAGAGCTCTGGCAAATACTGGCTCTGCACACCAACATTACGTGGGCCTGGACAGGCCATTTCCCCCACCCCTGCCCCCCGATCTTGATGGCCTGAGTTTCAGCTTCACAATGGGGATCATAACCACCCCCAATGAAACGGAACGTATTAAAGAGGGAGAACTCGCACGTCTCCTCCTAAACCCACAGAGACTATAATTATTTGTCACGTCTGACTCCCAGCAAGACGTTAGCCCCCACGAAGACCACAGGGCCCCGTTCGCCTGGTTCAGTGCCGGATTCCCAGTCACGCTCTCCACACAGCCGAAGTGGGATAATTATCAGCTAATAAATGAACCGCTGCTCCGTGCCCTTCACAGGTGTGAAACGAGGGTCGCCGAAACTGACGGGTACCTTCTGGCGTCCTAGCATGCTCCGGGTACGCTGGTATCCCAGGCCCGCCCCCACCTAGGCCCCAGCCCCCCGGGGACGCCGGCCCCTAACCCCGCGCCCGGCAGGCACCTCTTGCATATAGAAGCATCTTCACAAGTGCCGCGCACACCCTCGTCGTCCGTGTCTGTCGAGGAGGAAGAACAGGAGGTGAAAGAGGGCCTCCTCAGGCTAGCGGCCATGGGCGTGGAGGTTCCGGGGTGCTGTGCCCACCGGGGACATGGAAGCGTGAGCCACAAACGCCCTGGGAAGGAGCAAGCCTCCAAGAAGACAGGAGAGAGGGGCTGGGCTCCAGCGGACTCAGCTGGCGCGGTTCAGTGACGCCGCGCACGTCAGCTGTCCCAGCAACCCTCCCGCTCGGTGGCGCCGCTGCCCAGACGCTCATTGGACAATTTCTCCGCCCCCTCGGCCCGCGGAAGGGCTCATTGGAGAACTCTTCTGGCCCCGCCCACACAGCCCGGAAGTACGCCGAGGAGGGGAAGGAAGCAAATGGACGCAAAACAGGGGCAGCGCAATGCTTTCCGGGAATTGTGGTCTTGGGTGCGCTGGGAGGGCGTTGGGCTTTTTTTTTCCTTTTTCTTTTTTGTGTGCGAGAGAGAAAGAGAGAGAGAGGGAGGGAGAGAGAGAAGACAAGTGGGAGGGGCACAGGAAGAAGGAGAGGGAATCTCAAACAAGCTGTATACCCAGCGCAGAGCCTGACGCTAGACTCGATCTCACCACCTGAAAGCGTGACCCCAGCTGAAATCAAGAGGCGGTCTCTTAAGCCACTCAGCCACCCAGGTACCCCATTTCATGGGTTTCTTATTACTGGTCAGAAAACTTTATAACTGCAATTCACGCAGGGCGGGAGAGCTAGCAGGATGCTCAGCCTTGGGGCAAAGGGCAGAAAATCCAGCTGGAGGAAGCAAGTGTTCGTGTTGCAGTTGGTCAGGGCTCAGTCTCATTCGACAATTGAACAAATGTTCGCTGAGTGCTGACTCTGCGCCAGGAGCTGTGCTAAGTAAGGGCTTTGCGCACATAATCGCCTTTCAAATGTGGAGGAAGGAATGTGGGAAACTGGTACAATGGAAAACTATGTTGCAGTATAGATGCACCAGGGCTGCCAGTTAACAAGCTTCGGTGGCGGATTTAAGAATATAATATGCAATGAGAGAAGGGAATATAACATTTTTATGAAGTCCAAACCAAGCAAAACTGATGTTTAGAGATATGCTCATATATAATAGAATACAGAAAAATGAAGGAATGAGGCGGGGGAGGGAGACAGGAATCACCACGTCTGTGACCTTTAGGGAGTGGAGTGGGTAGAACACTAGAAGGGAAGGATTACTTAGGCACATCAATAATTTCTCAAGTTGGGTGGTTCACATGTGTTTCATCATTATGCATATTGAGGACGTCCATTACATATATTTTGTACTGGACTTATTATTAAATGTTTTCTAGAAAAATAATGTTTGTATGTTCCATTTCTCTGTCAGGTGCACTGAATGGATATACTCAAACTTTAAGAACCTTGGATCATGCAAACACACACATGCAAAACAACAAAAACTCAGAGCACATATCTTAGGACAAAATCATCTATCAAAAGCTTGCTTAGTATTCAGTGGAAGGCTAAGAGCTCATTGATACCCAAGGTGGAAATGACAGTGGGGAAGGTTGAGGTTAGGAAGGCTCGCCAGGGGGAGTTGCGATGAGATGGAATACACCAGTTTCTTTGAGTGGTCCTCTGCCAAGAGGTGATGCAAACCACTGAATAAGCACAATCTCCCAGCTTGGCAGTGTACACATTCCAGGGGGGTCAGTAAGTAGAAAGTGTCAGTTATGAGTAGTACAAGGTGCCCGTCCCATAGGTGTGGACGGTGAGGCTGAGGGTAACTGGAGGAAGGTGGAGGCAGATATACTGATACACGTGTGTCGTTTGACAAGCAAAAACTGTGCCTTGCTGAGCCTTTGATTCAGAAAAAGCTCGTGATTCAGAGGACTTTGTCAGTTTTTCACTGAGGGCCACCCCTGGGGTTCCAATTCATTTCATTTAAGTTCCTGGTTAAGGAGCTAGATCTCTATGACTGAGGAGTGGAATGACAAGTATAAATGGCAAGCTTAGCCAGATCAGGCTGTGTGGTGCCTCCAAATGTAAGACTACACTGGGGTTGTTATGAGACAATGTCAGAGAAAGTTCACTGCCAACCAATCTGCATGCCCTGACAAAGTCAAGAAAAGAGAAACTGAGATTTAAAACCCCTGTGAACATTAATATTGGGAGCAAAGAGTGGCATTGACCATTTAATGTCTACAAAAGGAGACATTTGTGGTTTTGTCTACCCAGTATTTTTTCTTCTTCTACAACAGCCTCAGTTTATTAATGAGAGCTAAACTCGCCTTTCAGGCCACATGGGTCAGGATGAGGGGTGCCTGGGTGGTTCAGTCAGTTGAGCATCCAACTCTTGATTTGGGCTCAATCATGATCACAGGGTTGTGGGATTGAGCCCTGCTCAGCATGGAGCCTGCTTAAGATTCTTTCTCTCTCCCTCTGCCCCTTCCCCCCACCTTGCACTCTCTCTTAGAAAAAATTAGTGTAAACACCTGAGATCCCAACAAATTTAAAGATGGTGACTATTTTGCTATTACAGATTTGGCTAATAGGTTCTGTTCAGCACTTATTTCAATGTCCTCTCAGCCGCCTTTCCCTTGAGCTTGAAGGGGACATGTTTTACCTTTTTATGCACAGGACACCCAAACCCTCCTGCAATCGCACGCAGTCTTTGCAGACAGGATCTGAACTGTACCCATCTTTCTCCAGAAGCACAGGTGTGACATCACCTTTATGACATCCTACTGTGAGGACATTTGTTTGACACATTTGTTAAGGACATACAAGTCCAACCTTTTTCAGTATTGTTTGGGTTCTGGAAGCAATGTATTCCTTGTTTATAAATTTTACTTAAATTTTATGATTTATTTACATAAATTTTATTTAAGCCCATTTATGCTGTTACTCATAAATCATCCCATGTTGAGTGGGCCTCCACCCAACAAAAGGCTCTCCAATCTGTCCAAGGTAAAATGACCTGGTAGTGTCCTCAGTGAAAAGGCTCTATTTTAGCAACCTCCTCTCCTGCTTCCTGGAGTCCCTGGACCACCCAGGGTATCTGTAAATTGTCCATGGGCTCCCTCTGCAAGAGACTGCCCTGCTTGGTGCTCTGTTATATACCATTAGAGCAGCAGTTGGTTGGCCATGCACTGGGCTCTTCTGGAAATAGAGTCTCTCACAGCCTGAGCCTTCACACCCAGCTGCCTGTTATTCCTTGGGTCGTGGAAGCAGTACCCCACAAGCTTCATAAGGTTACCAAGGCCTTCCTGCTACAGGATGAAGCCAAAGTCTGGCCTATCCTACCTGCAGGCGGGGGTGGCCTGTCAGCAGCCCATTGCCCGATTCTGTGGTGCTGAAGGATGTCACCCTGTCTTTATACCCTTGGCTACCTGGGGAATTCCCTTGGGATCAGCTGCCTGGACATCAGAGTTCCTACATCTTGTTTTTGATGGCCAGCCCTCCCTCCTGGTCAGGTGCCAACTTCATTTCCTAAATAAGTGCCTGTCCTATTCCTTAAAAGTCTCAGGCCCAGGTTTAAACTGATGTCAAGACATCAGAATCAATTGTGCTGTAAGGCCTGAGACTAAGATTCAATATTAAGGGTTGCCTTGACATCTGGTAGAAACAGGGGACCCCCAATGGTCTAAATGCAGGTTCCCTTCCCCCTCTGCTCCCACAGATAATGTCCCCTAGCCCAACACCCCCTTGTCACAGGGACCAGGCACAGTTTCTAGGCTCCAGTTCCCTGCCAGCCTGGGGGATGACCCAGCAAGCCAGCCAGACCTTCCTGCAGGAACCAGGGCTCACTCTCACCATCTTGTTACTACAAAGCCTGTCCCTCCCCACCCCCCAAGCCCGTATTCATTCTGTTCCCAAACGCAACCCCCATGTGGCCCTGCGTGGTGTGTGGTGTCCTCCTCTCCTGGGCCATGAGTACCTGTGGTTAATAAATTACGGTCGAACTCATCTGTTTAGCACCTGGGCATCCCTTAACTTTAGGGTGGAATCACTCCACTCACCAATGGGTGAAGAGGAGGAAAATAAAATCTTTCCAGTATGTACCTTTTTCAAGGCATGACCTGCCTGGATGAGGTTCATGGACTTGAAGTTATTCAGATAATAATCTCTTGGGGTTTTGTAAGAATCCATATGTGGCTGAAGGGCGGCCTCCATGTGAGTTATGAGCAGGAAGAAAGGCTGCAAAGGCAAAGTCTTGGATAGTCTGTTAAAGTTCAAACTCCAGGTGATGGGGGAACCCAAAAATCACCACAGCAGGGGAATAACATTAAATTTTCATCTCAGTTCACCCTGACAGCAGTGTGGAGGATGGGTTCAAGGGACGCCAAGGGTAGACTAGTCCATGCAAGAGACAGGAGTGGGAGCAGCAGAGCAGTGGGAACAGAAGGGGAGGGAAGGAATTAAGATATCTGTGAGGCTGGGGCACCTACCTGGCTCAGTCAGTGGAGCATGCGACTGCTGAACTTGAGGTCAAGACAGATCAAGCCCCACATTGGGCGGGGAGCCTACTTAAAATAAATGTTAAAAATAATAAGAATAGGGGCGCCTGGGTGGCTCAGTCGGTTAAGCATCTGACTTTGGCTCAGGTTGTGATCTCATGGCTTGAGATCTCATGACTTGTGAGCTCTCAGCTCATGAGTTCGAGCCCCGCCTCAGGTTTTCTACTGTCAGTGCAGAGCCTGCTTCAGGTCCTCTGTCTCCCTCTCTCTCTCTGTCTCTCCCCCATTCTCACTCTCAAAAAATAAGTAAATAAACGTTAAAAAAAATTATTGAAAAAAAAGTAACCACTGTTTTAAGTTTGGCAAATACCTCTGCAGTCATTAAAAGCCTTAATATTAAGACATTAAAAGTCTTAATTAAGATATTAATTAAGATATTAAAAGATATAAGACATTAAAAGTCTTAATATTTTCCAAATATTAAGAATATTTTTATTAAACTTTAGCCAAAAACAATAAATACGTTACATTTTGCCAAAGGCCATTTTGTTTAAGGTGCGCGCACACACACACACACACACACACACACACACACACACAGTGACTTGGGTTTCTTTCAAGCACTATCTCATCTCTGGCTTGAGAATCATCTATTGCTTTGAAAGGTCTTTTGCTATTTTAGTGCTCTTCCCAGGTGACACTATTAACTAACAGTGTGTACTTGGGTCAGTAACAGCATTTCTTAGTTTAGCCACTCTGTCT